CTAGTTCCCTTCTATTCAGCACTGGTTAGGCCTCACCTTGAGTATTGTGTCCAGTTCTGGACACAGCATTTCAAGAAGGATGCTTACAAATTGGAACAATTTCAGAGAAGAGCAACAAGGATGGTGAGGGGCTGGAAACCAAGCCCTAAGAGGAGAGGCTGAAAGAACTGGCCATGTTTAGCCTTGAGAAAAGAAGACAGAGGGCTGATATGATAACACTTTTCAAATATTTGAAAGGCTGTCATGCAGAGGAGGGGCAGGATCTGTTCTCGATCATCCCAGAGTGAAGGACACACCAGCAATGGATTCGAGTTACAAGAAGCCAGATGTTGGTTGAATATCAGGAAAAATTTCCTAACTGTTAAATCAGTAAGACGATGGAACCAATTACCTTGAGAGGTGGTGAGTGCTCCAACACTGTAGGCACTCAAGAGAAATGCCTACAGTGTTGGACGGCCAAAGAGCCTGAAAAATCCACAACAACCATTAGATCCCGGTCGTGAAAGCCTTCGCAAATACATTCAACGTAATGCAGGGCAATTGTAAAGCGAGGCACGACTGTACCTACCTACTACAGGCCTGACAGATTTCCACTGATGTAGTACAGCCCTCAAAGACAGGAGGGCCTGGTGTGCTCTGGTCCATGGGGTCACAAAGAGTTGGACATGACTAAACAACAAGTACAGCCCTCAGCAGGAAAAAAAAAGTTTTCCACCTCTGTCTCATTATGTAAAGACATGATCACGGTTTATTTATTTATTCTATTTAAACCTTGCTTTTCTACTACCAAGTAGTGCTTAAGGTGGGTTACAGTCATCATAAAAGAATATAATCAAGTTGAACCAACCCTATTATAAAAAAAAACAATCCATGAAAATCAGCTGAACACACAGTTAAGAATAACATACAGGACAGCAGATTAAACCTTGAATGCTAGTTTTAAAAGATGTCTGTTTACACCCTTTATGTAAAAGCACTTAGAGTAGAAATTAATCAGAGTGGACTGCATGCATTCCACTGATGAGTGGGGGCACCAAGGAGAAAGTCTCCTCCCATTTGGGGGGGGGGCTCTGCAACCCGTAGTAAGGAGGCCTGGAGATCTTAAGAACGGGTCAGGCTTGTGATACAACCTGTGGCCTCTTAGCTGGGCTCCAAGTCATTTAGGGCTTTCAAAGTGGGGCCAAGTACACAACTGGCAATCAGTGTAGGTTTTTCAGTACCAGGGTCACGTGTTCACAATGCTTTGCAGCAGTTAGCAACCTTAACTGTAGATCTCAGATAACCTTCAAGGATGGCCCTATCAGGAGCACGTGGCAGTAGTCAAGACATGCTATAACTAAGGCATGGAGGACTGTTACTGACTCAGGTCAACTCAGAGAAAGTTGCAATTGGACCCTTCGAGTTCTGCAAAGGGACTCCTCATCACTGCTGCCTCCTGTGCACTCGAAAGACAATGCAGAATCAAGGAGAATTTCCAGAGTGACAACCCCCTCCCCCAATTCTATCAGGGGGTGCAACCCTTTTTTAAAACAACTAGAGCCCCAATTTCCATATCTGACTTTCTACCGACCAGCAGCACCTCTTGTCTTGTTGGGATTTAATTTGAACTTATTCAGGGTCATCCAGCCCACTAGGGAGCTCAGGCAGCGTTCTGGAATCCCGACTGTGCTTCCTTGGTGTTGGGTGACAAAGAGAGGTGTTGCTGGCTGTCATCGAGATATTGGTGGCACCTTGCTCCAAAGCTTCAGATTGCCTATCCCAGGGGCCTCCCAGGGGTTAAATAATACAGGTCGTCCCTGAGGGACTCGTTATGCCAAAGATCATGTTGTCCAACAGTGCT